GGCCAATTCTTCTGATACCCTGGTGCTCGTATGTGATTTTCAAAGTCTATTGACTGTTTCAAGACGTTCTTGTATAACCCCACAACAGCTTAGAACCTTCAACGTCGGCCGGAGTTTTTTGATTGGCTGTCAGGTTTGCTTCAAGGTTGCACGATGCTTCATGACACCTGCATGGAACCTAACCTGGAGCTTGGAAACTATCAAGCTTGGCATTCTTGTGTCGCTACTCTATTCTGCCCCGTAGTACAAGGATATCCAGGCTACTAGAGGGCGACAACCATTCATATCTCCGTCAGCTGAACACCAGCCAACCTTCCTGAGATAGGCAGCTCATGTTCGACTCAAAGGCTTATCTCAGCAGGCTAACACCCCACCTGCCCAAAACTGAAGGAGGGGAAATGCCATTCGGTAGGAGCATATGTGAACAAGAACTTGCATCGCAATTTTGAGCTTCAAGTATAAATTTTGGTTTCTTCCAAGTAAAAGTCCTTTGGAAACTTATGCTTATTTGAATCCCACCCTGAATAAGGCTAGCATAAGCATCATTTAGTAGTCGCCACTGCAGTTCTCAAATCTTCGCGTTTGCGTTCAAGTTTCAACATGGCTCCTAAACAGAAGATTATCATTGATACCGACCCTGGTATGTCCCAATAAAGTCTCAAATACATATCTATACTGATCTTTTCAAGGTGTTGATGACATTTTGGCTTTGCTCCTCGCGCTCAGTGCTAAACCTGAGGAGCTCGAGGTTGCTCTGGTATCTGTCACATACGGCAACGTCCCTCTACAGAGGTAGGTTCACATGTTTTGTGTTCTAGTGCTGTTGCTGATGATTTCTTTAGCTGCCTCCGAAACGTTGTTTCCGTCTTCCATGTCCTTGAAAAAGAACTCGAATGGAGGAAGTCTACAGGCAAGCCCGAAGGCTTTGGTGCCATGAAGGCAAACAAGCCCATCGTGGCTGTTGGTCCTGACCACCCTCTATGTGACGAGGAGCTGATGGCCGATTACTTCCGTAGGGTTCCATCTAACCTGAATCCTGTGTAATGTATACTAACATGGATCTAAGATGGCATTGATGGCTTGCATAACGTTCATGAGGCTCATCCCGATTTGTCTCCAGCTGAGACCTGGAAAGGCATTTTCGGTGATGGCGCTGAAGAGGCTGAGAACTATTCTCCCCTCTTCACACCTTCCAAGGCCCCATCTCACCAAGAGATTCTTCGAATTCTGAAGGAGAACCCAGCGGATACTGTTTCTATCCTGGCAGTTGGCCCTCTTACAAATGTTGCCCTGGCAGCCGCGGAAGATCCTGAGACTTTCCTCCGAGTCAAGGAGCTTATCGTTATGGGCGGAGCTGTCAACGTCGAGGGTAACTGCACTCCTGTTGCTGAATTCAACTGCTACGCCGACGCTGTAGCCGCCGCGCGAGTTTATGCGCTCACTTCTCCCAAGCCAAGCTCCACCATGCCTAGTATCCCCAAGGAGCTCTCAACACTCAAGGCATACCCTGATAAGCTTTCCCGCCAACTTAAGCTCACACTTTGCCCCCTTGATATCACAACACCCCACTTGATTGGCAAGAACTACTTCAAGGAGAACATTAAGGCTCACATCGATGCTGGCAGTCCCCTGGCTAGGTGGGTGTCCCACTTCGTCATGGGCTCGTTCAGGAAGATCGAGGACATGGAGGGAGATGAGAACGAGCCTGGCCTTTCTCTGCACGACCCATTGACAGTCTGGTTGGCTATGACTCGAGATGATCCCAAGTGGAAGTTTCCCGAGAAGCTCGAGGACATCCGTGTAGAAACAAGTGGACAGTGGACACATGGAATGCACGTCACCGACCGTAGGTTTAGGAAGAAGCCTGCCGAGGCTGCAGTCGCCCTCTCAGATAACCCTAACGAGGACCCTCACATCCTGACTCTGGACGAGGTTCCTGGTGACGACCACGCCTGGTTGAGTGTGCTCAAGGGAAACCGCCTCAACCGGGTTATTGACTCTCCTGGTCACGACATCTTCAAGGAAGTGCTCATGCAGCGAATCTTCGGTTAGGACCCAAGAATGTCGACCTCATGCCAGTTCAACTACTCAAATAAATGCATTGTAAATCCTAAAAGCCTATACCGTGGTGAAGGCCAGATGAATTGTCTAAACTCCCTGCACTCTAACGCCTTGTGACCCGTCGATGCCACGGGACAAGAGACTTCCAGTTCTCTGTCCCGTAGATGCTTTACCCCAAATAAATGAACATGTGTGAAAGAATTGTGAAGGCGTAACAGACGCTGCTTTCCGCTGTGACGATTGTAGTCTATGAATGTTTTGTTCCGCCAATCGCTGAACCCTTGACTTCTGTCCAGTTGATGCTGTCGTCGAGCGCTTCGTCTACAAGGCCAATCGAGCATACGTTGTCACCGCGCACGAGATATAGTCCCAGGGGCACTTGAGCCGAGGGCTCGGGGTCGTCGGGCGTTCGGATGATTCGTTCCACGGCGTTGTTCAAGACCTGTTGGTATACGGTGAGCTTTTGTTTCTTTGCAGAGGGGGTATAGGGATCATACAAGGTTAGTTGTTTGGTCACATGCTGCCATTGTACCGACGAGAATACGGGAGTCGGCTGTGACGATTAGGACTTTCTCTTTGCGTATGTTAGCAAGCTGGTAAGGTCGGTAGAGCTTGGGAGGGGTGTCTCACTGTTAAGGTATCCGCCCAGTGTAGCCATGATGTTTGCTGAGTGCCTTTACGACACAGCGGAGCGAAATAAATTCGGTTTATGGTATGATATCAGTATGGAGCGTAAATTTCGGTCGGCGTCGAAGCTTGCTGTCGGGGTCTTGCGGTGGATATCGGTTGAAGCTGTTTCGATGGTCGCTGCGGGTGCCTGTGTTGGACTTTTTGGAGAAGCTTCTGTATATTGGCGCTAGACCTAATTAGGTCTGCTTTCACGACAACACACGACAAGCTGGAGATGCAGTTTGATGGAGGAAGGATGATTATGCTGGCTATTTTTCGCAAATACGGTGTTTCTCCGATGGTGTGCTACGTAAAGGTTTGAAATTTTGCAGTTCTGCGTTATTATTGCCCGCTCATGGGGTTAACATTTTCTTGGAGCACAATCAAGCTTCGCAACACTACAGAAATCATCAAGCAACATCACCACGACCGTTGCACAACTCCCAGAAAGAGTCTGCCAAATCATTCACCTAGATGACCGCAGAAGTTCAGTGGAAGCAACTCAACAATATCAAACTCTCCGGTATTGCTACTTGCGGTAGCTTGACTTTCTCAACACCTCGTTCGTGAGCACAAGAATCTACCCTGCATGGAACGGAGTCGATACAAACAGTGCCAGCTGTATCATTTGCGCTTCTCGACAAGCATTCTCCCACCTAAACCAACACTGCGCATGCATGTAGGAGTCAGGACGAGACATAGCGAGTAGGTTGGTATGCTGGTTCAACATACGTCCTGTCACGGATGGCACCATACAAGCAAGGCACAGAGCTCAAGATAACATTATCACAGACCAAAACACACAGCACAATCAACATCCAGGTCTTCTTCACTACCCAGGCAAG